ATTTTTCGGTGATAACAATATCTCCTGAATGTTCTGTTTTTTGACTCATGTCAGCACATGTTTTGGTTTGGTTTGGTTGGCATTTTTTTTAATATCTTTACTTTTTGATGTAATTCTTCATAATGAAGAGAAGGCTTTGGTGATTATTGTTGCGTACGATCGAATATGGTTCTTAGTGTCGTAGATTGTGCAAAAGTTATTGATCTTGTGAAGTCGTAATTAAATAAAAATTATGAATATTCGCTTGGTCCTTGAAGAAGAATGGAAAAATATAACACAATATATTTGGAGCCTCATTAACAGTATGAACCGACGTTTTACTAAACCGACGTTTTTATAACTTTTATGTGTATCTTTCGACAATGCCTTTTAATTTTGTGTTCTACAATATTACATGTTTATAATAGTTATGTTTATAAAGTTAGAATTTTTATAAATATATTATTGAGCTAAAGACGTAGGAATAGTTAAAAATAAATCTTATGAAATATGGATAACCAATATTGATAAAATTTTTAAGAAATAAATCATGACACATATAAACAGAAATACTTGAATAATGTTAATCTTAACCTTTAATAAAACTGTTGACAATTAGAGCTAAATTTAAAAAGACTTTTTCGAAACACAAATTATATTTCGAATATATGTTCAAATTAAACAAAATGAGTCTGGAGGGCATTCCCCGTTCTGTTGTTTACCAAAAAAAACATCGAAATAAATACCAAAAAGCTCCTTTTAATACAAAAACAGAAAATAATAAAAACACACCCTCAAACACCGAAATGCCTTTTAAAAGGGTTCGTTCTGACAAAAAAGTCTCTCTTTTTCTGTAATATATTACAACGAAAATCAACCAAAGAATTTATATAAATATCACATCGAATATTTAGAGACTTTGGTAAAAAGTCATTCGTAATAAAGTTGAGACGGGGTCGGAACATTTTCTTTAATGCTTTTCTGAGAACAAAAAAATATTCTTTAATAAAGGAGTTGGAAACTCACTTAAATAAAAATACCAACTTTTTTAATTTGAAAATGTCTATTCCTTTGATCTCTTCAAAGAAATTGTCTCTTCTAGTCTTATTTTACTATACAGGGTGGCGCATCTCATTCGCCTCGGTTGATTATACGAAAACGGAAATATGTAGAAACAAAATATTTTATAGGTATATGTGGGGAGGCAATGTGCACAATTTAAAATTATTTTGAAATATACAGGGTGTTTCAGAACTAAGATCCATACCAAAGTTATATTTTTTTCTTATGGAACACCCGGTATTTTATTTCATTTTTGGATTCGGGGGCCAAAAAAAGGCATTTATTATAAGGATTAAATACGTTTAAAATCTTAGGTTTTTGAGATATTTAAAGATATTTAAATTTGCATGCTACTATAGAATAGATTATTAACACCCTGTACATTACTTTTCAGAATGAATTCTTGTGCTGAGTTTAAAGGTAAAGAAATAAACTTTACTGGAAAATGTTATTACTTCCTTAAATTTATACAGGTGTATCAAAAATTGCTGATTTAATTTAAAGATTTATTTTACATAAAAACTTCGTTATTTCAAATACAACACTCTGTTTTTTTTTAATAAATCGAAGCAGATTCAAATGCTCTTTCAAACTATATTAGGGTTTCCTATACCTATCTAGCTCAAATTTTGAATAAAGAGCAATTTTTCAATAAAATGGCAACTAAAAAAAATAAAAGCAAGAGGGCTAGTTTCGTCATGGCAGTTTTTTTATTGACACTTAGTAGCTATTTTCAAAATCGAAATTAGTTTATGAACATATTTAAATTTATACCAGTTTACTTTTATTTAATTTGCCTGTAATAGTTTAATAAATAATATTTATTAAACATATTTATTATTCTATCAAGAAAAACGAAGAAGTAGTTCTTTGATTTATTTTACTATAACTTGTAGATATATGGATTTTCTATAAAATACACAATTACGCCAAATTCATTTTCTTTACTTCCAACGACAGGTTTCTGTCTCTAACAGGTTTTTTTATGAACTACATCACCAGCTCTGCGAAATAGGGCAAGTAGTTTTTCAAAGGAACGCAGCTTATCAGTAAGATTCCTATTTTTGGATACCTTTGAGCATAAGCTCTTCAGGCCAAGAAGCAATTTTCCTCACAAAATAAAATCACCAGAAACATATCGAATAGAATGTTTGTTTATTAAACTATTGTAAGTAAATCTAAGTAAACTGTTATAAATTATAAATAATAATGTCCATAAACAAATGTCGACTTTGAAAATAGTTACTATCTGTCACCAGAAAATTGCGATGGCGACAGCAGCCATCTTGATTGCCATTTTATTTAAAAATCACTTTTTATTCAAAATCTGAGCTAGATAGGTATAGAAAACCCTAATATAGTTTGAAAGAGCATTTGAATCTGCTTCGGTTTATTTTAAAAAATACAGGGCGTTGCATTTGAAATAACGCAGTTTTTATATAAAATAAATCCTTAAAATAGATCAGCAATTTTTGATTCCCCTGTATAAACTTAAGGAAGCAATGCCATTTTTCAGTAAAGTTTATTTCTTTATCTTTAAACTCTGGACAAGAATTAATTCTGAAAAGTAATGTACAGGGTGTTAATAATCTGTTCTATTGTAACATGCAAATTTAAATATCTCAAACACCATAGATTTTAAACATATTTAACCCTTATAATAAATGCCTTTTTTTGGGCGCAAGAATCCAACAATGAAATAAAATATCGGGTGTTCCATAAGAAAAAATATAACTTTGGTATGGATCTTAGTTCTGAAACACCCTGTATATTTCAAAATAATTTTAAATTGTGCATATTGCCTCCCTACATATACCCATAAAATATTTTCCTTCTACATCTTTCCGTTTTCGTATAATCAACCGAGGCGAATGAGGTGCGCCACCCTGTATATTATATTTTTTTTAGTTTAATTTTATCTGCTCTCTAGTTAACGGTTAAGTTGAAACATAATGAGTTAAAATTTAAAATCATTCAAGTCTGTATAATATAGAGATCTATCTGTACAATACAGAGATCAATATATACAGGGTGAGTTTCCTACGATGTTCTCTATGGGTATATCGGAAACTACTGGAGATAGAGAGTCGGTTAAATGGGGAAAGAATTGCAGTTTTGTGGGGTCATAAATATTCGCCTTTCAGATTTTTAAAAAAGTTCATTGCTTACTAGATATTTCGAAAAAAAAAAATTTTGGCTATTTTAAAAATTGTCCCTAATTCCATTATAATATATTTTAGACAAAAAGTCTTCAGATAAAAGTTGTAGACACATCCCCGACAACTTTGTGTTCTCCAATTTTTTTCTAAAGTCTGTTATTTTTGACATATGACACACACATATGTTTTTTTTTAAATGGAAACCATAGTTGGCCATGTCTTCATAAAAAGCGCCATTTTTTAAGCTTTTGAGCGATATATATATATATATGTTTTTTTTTCGAAAAATTACTGAAAAGATGGATGGATTCTTATCTTTCTTGACTAATTTCACTTAGCTGTGTATGGTATTCTTTTTTATGATTTACAGCTTATAAAAAGAGAGAATATATTATTAAACAGTTCTTTACAATTTACATTACAGAAAGTAAGATTTAAAGTATAATATCACTAAGTACATACACTTTAAGTTATTTTAGAAAATGTTCAAAAGATCCGCCATTGTTTTGAGTATATAAATTCATATTTTTAAAACTGAATTACTACAGAACGACCGGCCGACCTAATTAAACTTCTCCCGTACCGCCTCTTCGAGTGCCTCTCTTAATTCATAAGTTGTTTTGTAAACTTTGTTGTTAACCATACCGCATAAAAAAATTAAAATGGTTAGGTCAGGTGATCGAGGAAGCCCATGCAATTGGTCCACCTCTTCCTATCCCAGAGTTTGCATAACTATATAAATAATAATGCATATGATATAAATTACTTTTAACATTTTTTTATTAAGGGGGTAGGGGTGTCATAATGAAAGTCATGTTGGAACCACTCTATTGATGCGCGAGTATCTAAATTTAACTTTTCTAACAAGTCTTGAAAGCCGTTCTCTAAAAAAAGTAAGTAACGTTCACCGGTCAACGTATCCTCTAAAATGTATGGCCAAGAAAAGTTGAACCAATAATACTCTACGCTTTTCTTCATTTGAAAAATTCATATTTACAATTTTTGTTTGTTTTAATTTACAAAGTTTGGAAGTGACAGTTTCACATTTCACGACGATTGATCTTGTTTCCATGGCTAACTAAGTGAAATTGTTTAAAAATGATAAGAATGGGCTATAACACAGTAATTTTTCGAAAAAAAAAACATATAATAGCTAATATCGCTGAAAAGCATAAAAAATGGCGCTTTTTATGAAATCAGAGCCAACTATTGTTTCCATTTAAAAAAAAACATATGTTTGTGTCATATGTCAAAAATTACAGGCTCTAGAAAAAATTGGAGAACACAGGCTCATAAGGGATTATCTACAACATTAAAAATTTTTTGTCTAAAATATAGATTATAAAGGAATTGGGACAAATTTTAAAATAGCCAAAATCATTGCGCAAATTTTAGTATTACTTGCTATAGCGCCAATAATAAAAAAGTCAACAGAATCTGTAAATAACTGATTTTAGATCAAGCAACTGAACGAGAGCTGCACGAGATGTGTAATATCTCATAATTAAATAAAACGTCTCATTAACCGGCCGGCATCGGCAATCTGCCTTGTAGTCCCTACGATGACGTCAAACCATTATCATCCGATAGGAGACGATCCTTCGACCTGTATAAAATCCCAATAGTATCTCATACAAAAGCTTATTGGTGGTAGCTAATTGTCCATTGGCGTGTATATAAATTCTACACAACATTCTACAAGACTAAAACTTTTGTAATAGTATACTTCTTAAGTAATATGACGTTCCTCTACTAAATTAAATTAAAAATATAGTAATTTAAGAAGGAAAAGACACTTACCGATCACAGTAAAATTAACTTTGCTATTTCTGGTGGGTGAATTGCTAAAGTCGACTCGACATCTGTAGATGCCTTCGTCGGACTGTTGAATCTTGTCGATGACTAGAGTGGCCGGTACGGTGGACGGTCGGAATAGGGCCCTCGAACCGAAAACCGTTGGCGATGACCACTGTTTCGCGTCTTTGTAGGACCTGGCTCGTACATCAAAACTGAAATAAAAAAAAGATGTTAATAATACGCAGACGTAGAAGAATAATTTATTCAAACAAATAAAGTACATGCTTGTTGCTGGTTTTATTTTTGGCGGTACGATCTGTAATTGTTACAGCTGCCGCTAGATGGCGAGAGCGGCTAGTACTTGCCATAGTAGTACGTTTTGTACTCAAATGCTATTCTCTGATTTTCGTTTGTCAGATTGAGGCTTACAGCAAAGTCAGCCTGCCGATGGAGATAAATCTCCGAAACCGGTCGTCGAATGGCTGTTCCCTTAAGTCTGGTGAACTTAATGCAGAGAATAAGCATATATGTAGGGTTTTTCTGGCCTTAATTTTTTTCTTCTTGTATTTTGTTTAAATAAAGTACAGTTACTCAAACAAATAAAGTACATTTTGGTTGAAATCATACGGTATCTGCGTTATTAGTGAAGATAGAAGGATGCGGTTTGCAGAAACCTGTCCCACTTTTTTTCAAACGAAAGATGCTGTAAACAAAATTTTCATAGCCCTCTTCGTTTCTGAGCTACAGGGTCTTTTTAAAAATTTTGCAATTTGGAACACCCCCCGTGTCTCTGTTATTGCGAAAGGTATCGAGAAGGTGAAAACTGTTTATTGTAGAACTTTTTACGGAAAATACAGTGGCGTAGTCTGTTAATCTACGAAAACAATATTTTCGAATATATGAACTAAAGTTAAAAAAAGCCACTCAAAGTTGATCAAGTGCATCGGAAATTGTTTTGCGTTTACCATAGTTTCATTTTATCTAGGACTATTGAAATTGTATTATAAATAAAAATAGGTAGATTATTCTTTGTTTTTCTCTCACAACTTATATAAATCATATTGAACTAGCAATATAATGTCTACTTTTTCAAATATCTTTAGTTATAGGAACATCTCTACATATACACATCCTTTAATATTCTGCTTGGATGTAGGTCGAGGTTACCATTTAAGACCATCTTTTGTTGCATGATTGGGAAGTCGCCAAAGTTGTACTTTCTGTTTAAGTTATCTTACTGTTTAAAAAGTCCTTGGTCTAGTGACCTAGTTTTCCATTGCAAACATCCATAACGACAATAACTTTCTCATCAAAGTTTGAATTTATTGTATTTGAATCGAAAATTACGCCAAATTCCACTTTTAGCATAACTTGTATTTGAAAAACAACGGAATAGTAATATATAAAAATAATTTTTTACTAGACGGGGTGAGTTAAATAAGTGCAAATATTTTCAGGGCTGGTAGATCTCGATAAAAGAATCATATTTTCTCTTTGCTCTTTTTCAAATAAGTTCAAAATAACCGAGCTATTTTACTTTGAAAATTTCCAAAAAAACTCTTTTCTGGGTTTTCTTTCTTGTAAATTTAATCTACTACCTATGTTGCCATATTATCAAGAAATTATGTTTTTTAACTAAAAACTAAAAAAAATTCCAAACATTTTTTGAAAAAAATCGAAATGTTCAAAAAAAAATTTGCCGAAAAACTCATAATCGTATTTTTGGGGTCGAAATATACTACCCCTAAAATATTTTCACTTATTTAAGACTCACCCTGTATTTAGTGTATTCCGGAAACTTCGGCAGGATATTCTGCAGATAAAAATAATTAAAAAAATCATATAAATATATGTCCTAATTTGGGCATTTTTATTTCGGTTTTTTTCAAAATAATTTTTGAATACCCCAGTGCAGTTATGACATTCACCATGTTGAAATTGCAAAAAATTTTTAGAAAGCTGCGACCATTGAAAATAGTTAGCCTTAGTAACCCTTATTAACATACTAAAAGTCCCCATTTGTCCGGTGTGTGCGTCATCAAAAAAATCGGCCGCCATCTCGAATTTTGGTACTTTTTGGGAAAACATGTACTTAATTCGAAAACGGTACGTTTTAGCTAAAAATTTCAAGAGGTAAAAATTGAAGAGAATTGAAAAATCTACCAGATTCATTAAAAACTAATTTAGTCTCGCAGCGAAGATTCATCTTATGAATTCTTAAATCCGGAAATATTCTAGAATCAAGCATTCGCAAAGCGAAAATCGTAGAGAGTGTAAAATGTTATTTAATAGGTTACTTTTTTTGAATTTTAGTACTTGTCTTTAATATTAACATTCACATAAAAATAAAATATAAAATAAAAAAAAAAATATTTTAAAAGTTTATTTAATAAACTGTTGAGTTTGATTTTGTTACTAGTAAGTAGTGTTTACTGTTGCTTCCTCTAAACAGATGGAGATGCAGATATAGTTTTAGTAAATTATGTTTTGAAAGTAAATGCATCTTCTACGTCGGCGTCGGTTACTTTAGTTGGCGAAGATACTGATTTATTAGTTTTATTACTGCATTATCGGACAAAAAATTATATTTTTATGCTTCGGCATGGAAAATCGTCCAAACCTCACAAAGTAACTGACATCGGTGATATGCAGAACAAGATTATGAAAGATGATGAAGCATTCAATCTTATTTGCACATGCTATGGATGTGACACAACCTCGTGCTTGTTTAAAAAAGGTAAACTGGCGACTTTCAAAACGTTGGAAAAAGATCCTCATCTGAGACAAATTACATCCGTTTTTTTAGATCCTGCAGGACAAAAATCTGAGCTAGTCGAAGCTGGAAATACATTCTTATTTTCATTATATGGTCGACATAGGCTAGCGAAAGATTTAGATCAGTTGAGGTATTAAAAATATAAAACCCTTACATCTCGTCAGGTACTTGGTAAAACTTTGATTTAGCTACCTTACCTCCAACAACTAACGCAGCTGAAAATCATTATTATAGGACCTAGTTACAAATGGCTAAATAACGGAAAAGAGGCAACAGAATAGGGATGGAGTAAAAAAACGGATACCTTAGTTCCAAAAACAATGTCAAACGCAGTGGCACCAGAATTTGTATTGAAAATGATTTACTGTAATTGCAAATCTGGATGTAACAAACTATGTACATGTTTAAAATCCAATATGCCATGTACAAGCTTGTGTGGTGTGTGGTAACTGTCATGGTATTTCTTGCGACAACAAACAAATATCGGTCGATGAAGAACAAATCGAATAAAATTGTAAACTTATTTTTTTTTCTAGAGATGACAGTTTGAAACGTTAGGTTACAAGTTGGTAACACATTTTTATTAAAATGGTCATAATTTGAATTATTGTTATTCGATTTGTAAGAGTATGTTTATAATGTATTTATCATAATGAAAAAGTGTTAAGATTGTAGATGATATTTATGTCAAAGAGGCATTCCCAAGTACTTTATTACATTTTATTTTTTTCTTCCAACCTGTAGCCTAATTTTTCAAACTGTCACTGTATTTTTAAAAACAAGTTGTTTACAAAATGGTAACAAAAAGGCCTTGGTTTAAGTGCAAATAGCCCCGACCGGGACAAGGTGGAGGCTGCTTTCGCACATTATTAGTACACATGCATTTAGTAAAGGCTTTTACAATTTTTGTTAATTTTGAAATATTATTAAACCACCGATAGATATTTCTTGAAAATGTCACAAGGATTGTATTTTAGTTGAATTGATGCTAAATATCCATGTTATTTGTTAATAAGCTTAAAAAATTAGTAATTTGCATTTCGGTGATTTTTTTTTTAAATTTGCTCGATTTTCAAAAATTTTTTGTACGTCACTGCGTTAGGATAATAAACTATTTTTTACAGATTCTGATAGACTTTTTAATTGTCTTTAATTTTTACCTCTTGAAGTTTTTCGCTATAACGCACCGTTTTCGAGTTATTTACATATTTTCTCAAAAAGTACCAAAATTCAAGATGGCGGTCGGTAACGTCAATATTTGGATGAAAACTGGCGTCTGGGAGTTTTTTGACATGAGAAATTTGATTTTGATGTCAATATGACTCCTACTTGTAGAGGGCGCCACCTACATATTTTTAACTTGTTTGAATAGTAATACATTTTCATTCGTACCTGTATAAAACTACTGAGTAAAAAAATATACATTTACGTCATTTTTTACGTAAAAAATGTCTCTTAGTAAAATGGAATTAGTCAATACATGTCATTACTGACAAAAAATAAACATGTCTTGAGTAGATAGTTATTTGTCTGAAATGATAAATTTGAAAACTTTCTATTTTTTTAAATTAATCATAAATTTTTCTTCGAAAAAATGATAAAAAACAGTTTCTGTCAAACTTTTGACACAAAATCATTTCAAATTTATGATTTCAGTTTAATAATTATTTAGTCAACATGTTTAATTGTTGCATTTAATAATTAAAAAATAATTTATGTCAATGGTGAAATAGGTATTGATAATTTCGATTCCAAATATCTCGAGAACTATTACTCGTAGCGATTTTTACCAAGAGATCTTTTTTACATAGAAAACGTCGTAAATGTATATTTTTTTACTCAGTAATTTTATACAGGTACGAACAAAAAGTTACTACTCTTCAAACAAGTTAAAAAAATATGTAGGTGGCGCCATCTACAAGTAGGAGTTATACTGATATCAAAATTAAATTTATCATGTCAAAAAACTCCGTGACACCAATTTTTATCCAAATATCGACGTTATTTCAGAAATTATTTGGAAAAAATCGAAATAAAAATGATATTCTACACCCTGTATCTCCAAAACTAAGCATTTTAGGACATACATTTATACGAACTTTTTTCATTATTTTATCTCCAGAATATGCTGCCGAAGTGTTCGGAATACAGTTCGGACAACCCTGTATATACAGTTTTTCGGATTGAAATTATAGTCAACAATGTATATATAAAAAACAGAGCTTTAAAAAACTAAATTTAACTTATATATAGTTTATATTAATGTCAAATATACATTAAGGGAATATAATATGCGTTTTAGTAACATACTCCCACGGTTGAATGCTACAGCTTCCGCCGTGCCTGTTAATTTAACTTTAGACCAATTACTATTGCAATACTAAACGCTATTTATATTCAACACAGACCAGTTATGAAAGTTTATCGGGGAATTTA